AGACCAGATTTCAATGCTTGCTGGCACATAGTTGTGCTGAGTAGCTCTTGGCACAAGTAAACTAGTAAACGGCTGATTTACTAAATTATGATCGGATGAGCCTTTGGAGTTCTGACAGAAAGTGTGTCTATTCATGGGGTGTTTAAATTGTTTGGTGTTTAAATATTCAGCATGAGGCTAATGTGAACTGATGAAGGGAGACTGCAAACATTCACTCTCACTGTAGACAGGGAGACAGAGATATGCAATGTATCATCTGGCCTGTGGAGGTGGAAATGATTCATATTTAAAGATGTTGCTGTCTATTTCCATTGCTTTAAGGTGCTTTTAATTAGCATAGTGCTTGAAATTCAAAATAAGGAAACACGCACACACAGAGAAGCATCCAAATGTGTTGCTTAAACAAGTCACAAGAGTCCAAGAAAGACTTTTTCAACAACTGTGTGCTTTTGAACGTCTTTTTCAACACCTTGGCCAGCCTTCCAAAAAAATTCAGCAAAGACATGAAAAAATCTGTAAGAGAATGCTGCTTTCTAATTATGTTACTTCTGCAAGGGAAGGGGAGGCGATGATTTCTTTACTGCCACCTGCTGGAACTGGCAATAACCCTTTGTCATAACAGAGGAGCAAGCACTCTCACTTTAGAGGACAGTTACGGCAAGCATTTAAAATACTGTGATCCGAGACACTTACAGTAGATTAGAATTTTTTATTGGTGCTCTGTTGCCATAACAACATAAAGGCAGCAGCAGATGACTTAAGCTAAGCTTGCTGCTCATCTGGCAGTTAAAATGAGTACAGTTCACTTCACAAGTTCCCCATATGGACCCTTAGTGTATAGTAATGAAGTAACCATATGGTGGGAAAAGAAATGCACAGAAAACAATTGTGCTCCAGAGGATAAGTAAACCGGGCAGAAAGTTATGGAAGTCCGAGCAGAGAGCATGGTCTGTGTGCTGGCTAGCTTTGGGTTGCTCTTCCAGAAAGGAATTCCTCCAGCCTTCTCTTAAGCTAGTGGTGGGCAAATGTGGCTCTTTTACAACATGTGGACTTCAACTCCCAGAATTCCTGAGACAGCCAAGCTTGGCTGTCTCAGGAATTCTGGGAGTTGAAGTCCACAGGAAACAAGAAATGTCTGGACATTGAACTATTTCTGACAAGAAAAAAAATGTTTGAGACAACCCTTTTAGAAACACTTGCATCTTTTTGCATTTACGCTTGGTTATAAATAATCTTGGTATATACAACACTTTTCAGAAGGTAAGTGAAAAAGTAGAATTTACATTATATATTACACATTACTTAAGAATTTCCAAAAAATAAAAAGAAATAATTGATTGGCACGCCCCAAAATGTAAAAAAAAAAAAAAAAAAAGCCTACAGCTCACTCTTCTGTACAAATGCCCAGTTCAGAATATAGGACTAACCAGATATTCAACTAGTAAGACAGCTTGCTAAAGGCTGCAAAGTCAATTTTGTACTACACATGCTTCATAAAAGATGAATATAAATGCATTAGTTAGACACGGTAAGCTAAATTAGAAGGTCAGGCAGGGCTGGAAGGGCTGAAAAATCACACAACCAATGACTGTAATTACTCTTTTTTAAAGTCTATTAAGTGGTGTTGTTCTATCAAGGCTCAGGGGTATAAGACATGAAGTACAAGATAAAGTAATGTGTATTTATTACTCCCACAGGATCAATTTACTAGATATTTTCAGCTCCACAGAACAAAATACACAAATGCAGTCTTTGTTGCTTTCCTCAAAATTCTGGCATATACATTTCCAAAGGAACTACTGTGTAAGAAGAAAATGTCTTTATGGGATTAGCATCTTTTCATGCATTTTATCATTTTGTTGTATGTACAGTATGTTCATATCTAATGGCATGAGATTACATTTTTAAATTAATCAGTTCAATCAAAATTATTCAATCAAAACTATTAGTCAGTGACAAAGACCTTTTATCCTATGTTTCAATCCCTGCGACCAAACTACTGAAAAGACCCTGGTCAGAGACCTGGAAAATCATCTTGGGACAGTCTAGGGTGGCAATAATAATCAAGACTCTATCCCAAAGGTGCTTTTTCAAGAAGCAACTGGACTTTCTGGTTTTTCTTTGAAGACATTTCGCTTCTCATCCAAGAAGCTTCTTCAGCTTTCTAGACTCTAGTTAAGAGTCCATTGAATATATATATCACCTTCCTATTTTTGACTTATTATTTTTGTGTTCTCCGAACCCCTCATCACACAATTTCAAACACTGTGTTATCTCTTGTAAATCACTGTTCTAAGATACTGTTTATCACAAGTGTCTACTTTATCATATGGACAATCTTAATTTCTTGTAGATAGAAATTGTGCTACAAGCTGAGTCAAGCTGTTTGTATTAAGCAGTAACCAACAACTACATATTGCACCAATGCTCAGAATCCATGCTCTTGCTCTTTTGCTTTAAGAGAACATGGTCCAGGAGCCAAGTGATCTGTATGACTCTTTCTATAACCCTTGCATGCTAATGTTTTTAACCATAGATTCTAAATTGCACAATCTGCTGTAATCAATTGTTGAGTAAACACTAACGCACTAAGAAAAAGCCTCTTCTGCTCACCTTCAAGAAGAAGTCCTCCTGCCCAATTCCAATATGACTGTGTCTTTCAGCTGTCAAAATGTCATCCTTTTAGAGCATGGGTGTCAAACTCGCGGTGTCACGATGCCGTCATGTGACTTTTGCGACTTTTTTCTTATTCAAGGAACTGGGGTGGCTGTGGCCTGCACGTGATGCATCCAGCCCGTGGGCCACCAGTTTGAAACCCCTGTTTTAAGAGTTATCCCTGATTTTGGATTTTTCATAATACCAACATAATCTTCTCCCATGTGGTTTTAGTATAATGTTTCATGTGGACAATTGATAGCATTTTAATTTTTGTCATATCACTATGAAAGTAGTACTTTCATAGACCCATTTTACAAAGGAAGCTATTTCCAAGATCATAGAGGGGAAAAAAGCAGTATATATTGTAAGTGCTCAATAGATTTCCAAGATGAATCAAGCAAATAGCAAATGAAAGTGCCATATTAGTTCATTTTGGAGTAGAATCTCTCCAATAATTATTGTTTTCTCTTAGACTGCCAAATGATAAGACATATGGTCACATAAGCTCCAGCTTCTAGAAAGAGCACAACAGACTTGTAATGACAGTCAACTTTTTAACTGACCCCATCTAAAAGATAAACACAAATTCAACCTTCAGTTTTTGCAGAATTAACCATTCTCTGAACCCATACTGTCAAATGAAGCACTCAAACATCCTACCAAAGTATTATTCAATTTAACAAGCTAGCTGAGTAGCATCTGTTATTTTAAAGCTAAAATAGACTTTCATTTCAAAGGAGAACTAATTGAGAATGTGTTCTGTTTTCTAAAATGAGTCCAGAATTTCAGGTGTAATCTCCAATTCTCAATGTATGTTCAGCATGGGAATGCAATAGATGTGCTTTCTTTGTTTGTTTATGTATTCATGATAATGGAATAACCATGAAGATCACTTTTACTATCAATTTTAACCCACTTCTGGCTACATGACACCTATGACTCCCTCTTTAACATTTCAAAAATATTTCCCAGATTTCTATGAGAAAGGCTGTAGATTCAGCTTACCTGAAAACTGCCCATTGGCAAAAACTTATCTAAATGATTGTAATATTTTGGGTGTATACAAAAAGTATTACACTGAGACTTAATATATTCAGCAAATTATTTTTAAACCCTCAGTGTCTGAGTATAGTGACATATCTTTCTGGCTTTGATGTTTACCAATTTAATTTTTTTTAAAAAAAAATATTTCCTAGCATCCTTTACCAAACCATTTCTACAGTCATGGTAGAATTCTCACAATCCAGTTCTTAAATATCCACATTCTTTGTTTTATCAAATGCCATTTCCTTCATATTTCCTTCTGTATAGGAAGTCTACACCAGGAATTGGAGACTTGGTCAACAGCATTTCTTCTGGATGCTGTTTTAATGCTTTTTAGCATTAATGTTTAATGCTAATTTTAATATTAATTAGTATTTGTTAATCTTATTATTGATATTGAATCACTGTGGTTAATTTACCATTAACATTTATGTTAGATAATTGGAGTTTATATTAGGGGGTGGAGTGGTTAAATAGGAGCATGAGCATAAATACTGTAGTATTCCAAATGTTTATGTAATGTAAGAAGAAGCACTAAAGACTGATTTGGTAAAATGACAAACTAAATTTGCTTATTTGCTTGCTTGAGCTTTTGATAATGGAATCACTGGATAGAAAACCTAGAATCCACACTGGTCAGAAGTAACTCTGTATCTTGGTAGTACAATGGTCTAAGGCACCCTGTTATTAAGCTGGTTATTAAGACCAGCTGCCTGCAATTACTGCAGGTTTGAATCTCGCCAAGGCTCAAGGTTGACTCAGCCTTCCATCCTTTCTAAGGTAGGTAAACTGAGGACCCAGTTGTGGGGGCAATAAGCTGACTTTGTATAAATATACAAAAGGATGAAGGCTATTGCTGAGCACATTGTAAGCCACCCTGAGTATCCGGAGAAGGGCGGCATATAAATCAAATTAAAAAAATATATATTAAAGCTTCTATCAGTACTGATGGTCCAATTGCTATAAGAGCTACGAGTCTGACTTTCATGTGTACATGAGTTTGTGCTTTACATGTAACAATATTTTCTTGAACATGGCTCAGTAAGTAAAGGTAGCTGTGGCATCTCTTTAAACACAGATGTATTTAATGAGAATACAGCTGGCTGCAACAAAGCTGAACCAAATATAAACAAGCTTCATACAGAGCATGTGGCTGTAGCATTCCAAATGTAGATGTTGACTACACAAATATGGTGCTGAAGCATTATTTGGAAAAAAAACAAACCCTGATGCATTATAGACTTAATCATAAACACAGACATATATGTATGTGCACACATACACTACATTTTGCTGACCTTTGGTAAACGCTCAGGGTCACCAGGATGCCTCGGGATGACTTTCTGTAACCTTTGGAAGCCATAGTCAATGGTTGGTTCATTCAAAGCTGGAACAAGAAAAATTGTAATTAAGCAAAACTGAATTTTTCACTAAAGATTATTGAGTTCTAGAAGCTATCACAATCCTGGAGGACCTGAAGAAATTCATTTCCTAAAAGCTTTCTTGTCTTCTTGTTTTCAACTGTTCCAGTGTTATTTTATTGGGGGGAAAGTTTGTGGAACTTTTTTCTGTGCAGCTGTAAGATTGTTAACTAAACTTTTAGTTTTTTCTTTATTTTTAGTCCTGAAACTTCACCATATTTTTTAAATTAATTTGGGTTCAGTTTCTTGTTGATCTTCCAGGATAAAAACCAAATCATCTGCAAACCTGTAACTTGTATCTTTCTAGCTTTCCTTTTTTATTTCCATACCTTTAATTTCTATGTCTTGTCTAATATTTCTATTTAATACTCCCAATGCCAATGTAAATAGTAAAGGGGGTAATGGACATCCTTGTCTTGTGCCTTTTTTATGTTAAAGTTCTCTGTCATATCCCCATTTACCATCACCTTTGCTGAAAGATCATTCTCATATTGTTTTTGACCTATCTCTTGGGCAGGAAGCCATTTTGATCTAGATGTATAAATTCATTCAAAACCCTTTTTAGTCTCTCTGCTATTATTGAAGCATATATTTTGTAATCAGCATTCAATAAGGATATTGGTCTATAGCAGTGGTGGGTTGCTACTGGTTTGGTCCAGATCTTGTGAACAGGTAGTAACGGCGGCGGGAGGCTCCACCGACCCGCCCGGACATCATCACAGATGCTCATGCGCAGAAGCGCTATGCATGAGTGAAGCAAGCGCGTGCATGTGCTCCTGTTGTGAACCAGTAGCGAAGGTAACTGGAACCCACCCCTGGTCTATAGTTTTTTATCTGCATTAAATCTGAATTTTCTTTCAGTATGAGGGTAATATTTGCTTCCATCCACAAATTTGGTACCTTTGCTTCTAACAATACTTCATTATAAAGTTCCAACATTGATGGGCCTAGAAATCTAATGAAGAGGATAGGCATTCAAAAAAAGTTAAATATTTAGGAATTCAACTGATGGCAAGGTGTGTAACTATTAAAGAAGATAATTATTATAAACTGGCACAACAAATTAAAACAGATTTGGAGAAGTGGTAAAATCTGCAACTGTCATTGATGGGAAGTATAGCTACTATAAACATGAATATCTTGCTGATATTATATTATATTTATTTCAAACAATACTATAAAACTGGAAAAAATATTTTGAAGAATTAAATAAAACAATATTAAAATATATTTGGCAAGGGATAAGTTTGAAAATGTTGCAAGATTCTAAAAACAGAGGAGGTTTTGGGCTGCCAGATTGAGAATTGTACTATCAGCTCGCTGATGCACATGTGTGCATGGAAAACCGGAAGATCATCTTCCTGGTGTGTGCATGCGCACTGTGTGGCTGCTCTTCCATTTCTGGTGCTCCCGCGCATGTGAAGACCAGCTGGCTGGCACGCTGGAACCCAGAAGAGCAATGGGCAACAGGCGACGGCTCACGTGCCTGGAGAGATGCCTCTGCATGCCACTTCTGGCACACATGCCATAGGTTCACCATCATGGTCTATATAGTATCAACCTAATAGTGTAAAGAATCACAATCACACTTGGCTGGTTTGGTTTGGTTTGAGGCACAAAAGATTATTGATTTTGGAGAGACATGATCCCTTGAGCTGGCATGCTTTTTTACATCCAAATGTTATTGATATGGAAAATATTACTAGACATTTTGAATGAAAAGGGGGAACTTAAAACTAAACAGTAATTAAGTGGTCAAGGAATTGAGGCAACATGGTGATCACAAGTGCAGATACAATCCCGATATGAGAAGGATGCTAAAATGTATGATTTCTATAAAGAATTAACAGAATTAGATCAGATATTAACAGGGACAGATGAAAAACTAATAAAGAAAATATATAGCTATTTGTTAAATATTAAGATGGAAGATGAACAAGTAAAAGAGACAATGATAGTATGGCTAAAATTTTTGGTTATCCGAATGAGTTAGATAAGTGGCAGAAACTATGGGATAGAAATTATAAATTAACGATGTCAACCGCATATAAAGAAAATCTTTACAAAATGTTTTATAAATAGCATTTTCCACCCTCGAGGGAAAGATGTTTAAGGATATGTCCGCAAAACATTGGAAATGTCATCAGACACCTGGTTCGTACTATCATATGTGGTGGACATGTCCAAAAGCAAATATATATATATATATATATACTGGACAAAAATACGTACATAGTTGGAAAAAATGGTAAAACAACATATTGATTTGAAATCAGAAATATTTTTCTTGGGCATTTTACCATATAAGTACAATAAAAGTAATGCATATCTGATTTTACATGTACTGACTGCAGCTAGAATTGTATTTGCACAACAATGGAAAAGTGAAGAGATCCCAACAGATGAAAATGTGATTAGAAAAATATTAGAAGGTGCAGAAATGGATAGGCTAACACTTACAATTAAGGAAAAGAAAGAAACTGAATACTTTTTGACCTGGGACTTATTTTATCAATGGTTAGTCGACAAAAATAGGAGTTAGAAACAGGGAAAGATAAGGAAAGGATCAATGATATAAGGGAGGTATGTTAAAATGGTTAAGTAAACATTATTATTGTTGTTGTTGTTATCAATACTAATGTAATAAACACTGTTGTAAATATTTTGATTACTATTTCCTAAAACTATTTGTACCCAGGCAACAGACTGTTTAATTGAAAATGGAATTTTTATATGTTACAAAATAAAAAACTTGGGGGGGAAAAAAAAAGAAAGGTTGTGGAACTGAACCAAAACAAAGCAAGGCAAAAGGCCCATAACGTTTCACTTTTATGACATATATGATCCCATTTATATATGCAGCCATACATAATTTTCTTATGATATTAACAACAAGTTTTTGATATGGAAAATGAAGAAAGAAATTCTGCCGAAGCCAATACTACTTAAAGCAAAAAATAAAAATAAATAAATCACAAGACGTGACACATATGAAGAACCCAAAGAAGAGTTAAAAAGTGCATGTGACTAATTGCTCATATGCCAGCTTCTAAAACTTGTGCAACTGTGTGAAATGATGATAACTTTCTATTTGGTAAATGATTAGTACTATTAATATTATATTTTATAAACACTGACCTGAAATCATGGAAAATTTGGTCAATACTGTTTTACTTATTAAACATGAACATTTATGACCAATTTTCTTTTCAGAAAACAAAAGCTACAAACAGCTTGACCAAATATGTAATATCCATTAAGCAACATCAGAAGATGCCAACACAGTAAGACCTCAAACATTCTAAAAGTAAAACAAAATGAACTTTTAGGAAGCTATGGACATAGAATAAAAGCATATTTATAACATGGCAAAATAAGAGTTTTTGCCTTTGGAGATGATTAAAAATATTTCAATGTATAGATGAATAAAGTAAAATAACAGCACTGTATGCAGCATATTCAATTGTTTGGACATAGTGTGTTCTTCTAACTAGACATTTTCTATTATAACTTGTTTTATTACATGAACTTTTATCTATTTCCATGGTTGCTTATGTGTATTTCTAGATAAGAATTTTAAATTGTTCTACAGGGTTAGCATTGTGATAAGCAGGGGAGAGCATACAGCTTCCAACAGCAGAATCCGCAGACTGTTTCAGGAGCCCTGGTGGTGCAGTGTTTAGAATGCTCACAACCTGGAGTTCAATCCTTATCAAGGGTCATGGTTGACTCAGCCTTCCATCCCTCAGAGGTCTGTAAACCTGAGGACCCAAATTGTTGGGGGTAATATGCAAACTGCTCAGAGAGTGCTATAAAGCACCATGGAGCTGTATATATAAATCTAAGTCAGGGGTGTCAAACTGGATTTCTTTGAGGGCCAGATCAGCATTGTAGTTCTCTGCGGACCGGCAGGGGGAGAGTGGGGGCCTTGCTAGGGCCCCGCAAGGCTTCCACACGGCCTGTTTTTGGCCGGCAGAGTGCTGCTGGAGGCCAGGGAGGCAGGGAGACACACATGACCCATTTTCGCCAGCAGAGGCACCACGGGCCAGTCCTTTGATATTTCCAGGCCGGCCCTGTGGGCCGGATTTAAACACCCCACAGGCCGCATCTGGCCTACTGGCCTTGAGTTTGATACCCCTGAGCTAAGTGCTATCGCTATTCAGTCACTATCCTCTATTATTAAAATATCCAATAAACTCCACTCTGAGTCAAGGTTTTATTCTTTGGCGTTTTAATATCAGGTGTCACAATGTTTTACATTTCAATGGGATATTTGTAATTAAGCAAATTGCTTGGAAAAGTAAATAATCCAAAAAAAAAAAAACAGATCTAAAAAAACAATACTTGCTATCCTTCAAAGAAATAAATAAAATGGAATCCTCATTGCAATTACTCTAGTGAAATTCTGGATTAACTTGTTACTTTATACAGCTGACTAAATGGATTCATTTATACATTCTTGGAAGTTTTTCCTTGTTTTTAATGAGAGAGACAACCTACTCCTCCATTCTTAAAGGTGTTCCTTCATTTCTCCCAGGAAATGAAATCCCCCTATAAATGTTTTTCCATAGATAAAAAAATTAATGATTTAAAAAAAAAATCTTTTAGACTGAGTAACACTTTTATTTGTGTTTGTAACATTCATCCACATGTTAAAAACAAAGTTAACACATACTATAAAAATGCTTTCCCATTACCCTAAGTTTCAAAAGTACATTGAAAGTAGTCCTGATTTTAAAGAAGGTATTAAATTCAAATAGGTCCCAAGGCTAATGGAAGCAATTTGTGTACCAACCCAAACTGACTGGCCTACTTTTCAAAATACAGATATGATAATCTCATGATTTTAAAAGGACATTTAAATTGAAAGACTGTGAATATAGTATATAATTATACCAATAGCACCCTTTAACTTGTCAGCTTGTAAATCTAAATGGCTATCAATCATTTCTAAAGAGGAAATAAA